CGGAAGTCTGGCGCAGCAGGAGTTAAACAGGTAACACTAGTGATAGCTTTTCTGTTCACTTGATACTAGTACTTCTCTCTGCTACATAGCAAGACCCTGTCTCAATAAAACACCTCCCTACCCCCCAGAAAGAGTTGAATTTATCTCTAGTTCTGAATATATTTAATTCCTTGGACATAAGTGGGATTTAGTCCTTCACTATCAAGTCACTGAATTTAACAATGTTAAAAAAATAGGTTGCATTTGTTAGCCAATAAATGGTTTATAATCTGTACTTACACTGTCCAGTATAGTAGCTGTTAGGTCATGTGTGGCTAATGAGTACTTGAAATGTGGCTAGTTGGAATAGAATGTGCTTCAAGTGTAATAGTATACACCACTTTTGAGGACTTAGTATGGAAAAAGAATGTGAAACACTTTCTTGCAGTACTTGGGATTGAACCAAGGCCTTCATATGGAGCTACATCCCCAGCTGTTTTTTTACATTTTTTATTTTGAGACAGAGTGTCACCGAATTGAGTTCGAACTTATGATCTTTCTACCTCAGTTTCCCGGAGTACTGGTATTACAAATGTATGCACCATGCCCAGTTTAATTTTTTATATGGAAAGGCAGGTTTGGTGTGCATGCCTGTAATCCAGCACTTGGGAGGCTGAGGCAGGAAGGCTGCTGTGAGTGTGTGGTCAGCCAGGGCTACACAGTGAGATCTGTCGCAAAAGAACAAAAAAGTTTTTTATATAGAATATATGGCAGAATGTTAATACTTTGATATATGTTAGGTTACAAATAAAATACATTAGAGTGAATTTGGCCTATTTCTCTTGCTCTCCCCCTTTTGTTTTGAGTTGTGCTGGTGACTGAACCCAGGCCTGTACCTGTGTGATCTACCACTGAGCCACCCTGCCTCTACGAGGGTATCTACATTTGCACGTGTGGTTCCCATTGCAGCATGTGGCTTCCATTGCATTTCTGTTGATTACGCTCACCTAACAATCTCTTCACTGTCAGGGTGCTCTCTTTTTCTGTTCCAAATCTGTGATTACAAAAGGGAAACCAGTTTTAAGTGACTGGGCTTTTGCACATTAGCCCATTCAAGAAGTTCCATTGCAATCATTAATTTTACGTCTCCCACCCTTGGCCTCAAATTCCCATGAACAGAAATGTATTGGATCAGCTTTCAGATGCTATAGATTCTATGCATTTTTTGCCTCTGGTCCAAAAGAGCAAGGAGAGTACATTAGCTTCCCATCCGGCTGCTACCCATGTCCCACGCAGGGCACGTGAGGACTGCCACTGTCCTCACGAGACGTGCGGCCAACGGTACAGGAAGCCGAGGGTCCTGGCCTGCGGTGGCCGTGCACTGCCTGCTCCCAGCAGTGCGACAGCTGCTGTGGGTTCCCGGCAGCAGGCACAGGGCACTGGGTGTCTGCGAGTCTGACAGGACCGAGGCGTGCCGGGGGCACGGTCCTGCGCAGCATTCCGGTCCTGTCCCTCCACCTGCCCTCCACACGTAGCGGACCCTGCGGAACTGTGGCCTGCTGGGAGCACGGTGCCTTTCCCCACATGCGGACCGGCCAGTGTTGGGTAATTACAACGATTTGCTTTGTTTTTTGTTTCTTGTGATACTGGAGTTTCAGTCAGGGCCGCTTGCCAGGCAAGTGCTCTACTACCGAGCTACATCCTCGGCCCCTTTATTTTATATATTTTATTTTATTTTATATTTTTTTGAATTTGGCTTTGAACCCACTATGTAGCCCTGGCTGGCCTCAGACTCACAGTGATTCTCCCGCCTCAGGCTCCTGAGTTTGGGATTACAGGTGTGCGCCACCATGCCTGGCTTCTTAGCCTTTTAAAATTAAAATTAATTTTAAAAGTTTTTTTGAGACAGGATCTCAGTGGAGCTCAGGCAAGCCTTGAACTTGTGATCTTCCTGCCTCAGCCTCCTGACTGGGGATTACTGGTACGCTGCATGACACCCGACTTTAATTTTATTTTGAGGCAGGGTCTCGTTAAGTTGGCCGGGCTGGCTTTGTACTTTGCATCTTCCTGACCCCTCCTCCTGAGTAGCTGGGATTGCAGGCCTGTGCCTTGGTGCCCAGTGTAATACTGGTGCTTTATAACAGGCCTTTGGAAAACTGTTTGAAATAAAAGTACCATCCTTTATGCATTTGATTATCAAATTTAGGTGCAAGAAAGATTTTTTAAAAATTTTATTTTTTTATTTTCATTTTTTTGCAAGAAAGATTTTTAAAAGCTTTCTGGAAATAATTTGAAGCTTGCATAGAAGTCTCAAGAATAATAATGAAGAATATTCTTTCCCTAAGTTTACCTAGGTAACATCATATCCTATTGGCTTTGCTGTTCGTTCTTATGTGCTGTATATACAGATATAAACATACGTCTTATAACTGTGTAACTGTACGTGTATGTAGTTATACTCTGTTGTTTTCCCTGAACCATATGAGAATAACATACATATTATAGTCCTTTGCCTCTAGGTATTTTAATATATATTAATATATGTATTTTAATGTGTCCTAAATATATCTTATATATATTATAGCCTTTTGCCCCTAAATATTTAATATCTGTTTCCTTTTATATAAGCTCAGTTCAGTAACCCACTGTAGTAAACTTACTGTTAATGTGATACTTGCATTTAATTTACTCCTTATATTCTATTTTATTATCAATTAACCTTTTATAGCATGATACTTTCATCAACATAACACATCTAGTCTAGAATTATATATGTATTTAGTTGTTTTTCTTCTTTAGTTTTCTTTAATCTGGAACAGTTCTTCAGTCTTTTTTTTTTTTATTTTCCTGGAGGAATATTTTAAATTTATAAACAGACTTCTTTAGGAGGCGCACCAGGTACAGTGGTGCACACCTGTAATTCTGGCTGCTAGGGAAGTGAATTTGAGGCCCACCCAGGCAACTTAGCAACGCTATGTGGAGAAAACAAGCTAGGGATGTAACTCAGTGTAAAGGTTCTGGGATAAATTCTCAGTGCTGGGGGACAAAAGAGCCAACCCTAGATTTGAGTTTCTAAAATTTAAAATTCTCTCTTCAAGCAAATCAAATCAAGTACACGGCCCCCCAAATGCATAAGCATTTGCAATGAATATGACAGACTAAAGATGAATGCCTAGAGTTCTTTTGAGGCAGAAAAAAAAAAGGAAATAAAAAACACCAACATCCTAAAAAAGCAAAGGAACCAGGTAGTACACGAGAGAGCAAATACTGACGGCCAGTAACAGGAAAATCGGACAGCTCCTAGAGCCTTGCGGTGAAGGTGTAAGAGCAGTGGGGGCTCATAGTAATCTTCCAAGGATTAATTACTAGGAATGATTCTAGTGTAGGCCAGAGTGTCGGGAAGGGGTATTCCCCCTACCGCTGATGCAGTAGACATACACACAAACTTTATGAGGTGTGGAATTGGGGAACATACTTCAGAGCTTTAAATAGCATGATCTTGTGTCATGAGTTCTGTGGCAATTTATTTGCCTTAGGTTTGGGTGTAGTTTTTTTTGTTATTGCTGCTGTTTGTGTTTTGAGATAAGGTCTTGCTATGTAGTTTAGGCTGGCCTTGAGTTCATTATGTAGCCCAGACTGGCCTCAGATTTGTGGCAATCCTCCTGCGTCAGCCTTCTGAGTGCTGAGATTATGGGAGTGCACCACTGCGCCTGGCTATAGCGTTTTATTGTAGTAGAAGTATAACTCATTTCCCGCCCCAGTGCTGGGGATTGAACCCTGGACCTCTGCACGGAACTATATCTCTAGCCCCTTACTTTTAATTTTGAGACAGGGTCTTGCTAAGTTGATAAGTTCTCCAGGCTGGGCTTGTACCTGCAGTCCTGCTGCCTCCTCTGGCCCGTGTGCTAATTCCTTGTCATGGGTTGAGGGTTGGTCGTGAAGGGTGTTGAGCTGGCAGAGTAAATGACAGTGGCAGGAAGAGCCCTCTTGTAGAGAAATGGAGCTGCTGGTAGCTGAGAGCCAGGATCTGTGGCGGGTAGCAAGGGGACACAGGTGGGGCGAAGCAGGCATCTTCTGTCCCAGGCTTCTGGTTGAGCTCTATGCTTTGAGGAGAGTACTGTTGTCTGCAGGGTAGATTGATCCTTGCCCAGCCCCTAGCAGGCGTTCCGCAGTACTCTTAATGCTGGTTTCCTCGGAGAAGGTAAGGAAAAGCCTATGAATATTGTGAAATTTTAGTCTTTCTTTAAAAGTCACCTCGTGTACCTCTGTATCCGTCTTAAGGTAGCAGCCCCACAGCTGTATCTGAGAGAATCACCCTTACAGTGCTGGCAGGTGCAGGGATTATGCTAGGCAGGACAGAAGTGAAAGAAATGCCCCCCACACAGAGGAGCTCCTGCCTGCTGCGTGCTTTCTGGATGGTTTACCAGAAGTCCTTTGTCGGGTGAGAAAGGACCTGAACTGAGCTTGGTTTTCTTTACTTCAAAACATAGACCTGCAGATCCTGGGTCCACGTCTGGGACCACAGAGAACGCTCTTGTGTGGTAGAGAATTTGCTTATATGGAAACTCTGTGATGAGCAGGCTTGGTGCTTCAAGCTGCAGTTCTTTTTTTTTTGTCTTTTTGAGACAGGGTCTTGCTGTACATACAGTTCAGGCTGGCCTAGAGCCCACTCAGTAGCCCAGGCTGGTCTCGAACTTGCAATGATCCTCTTCCCCCAGCCTCCTGAGTGCTGGGATTACAGGTGTGCGCCACCACGCCCGGCTCCAAACACATCAGCTCCTGGCCCAGTTTTAGTGTTGGGTGGGAGGCTGAGCTTAACAACATGGTAGACTTCTAATTATGAGTGGGTTGTATCTGCAGATGTCAGTCCTGCAGGGGTTCAGAAATTTCCTGTTAGGATTCAGTGTGCAAGCTGATGTATGGAAGGGCAGGCTTGTGCGAGAGAGCCTCCTATTTAACACGGGAAATGTTTGTGGCTTCCACCTGAGTTCTTACGTGTGTTCCTTTGGTCTGATCTTAAGCTGCTCACGTTTCCCACCTGGAGAATGTGTCAGAGGAAGAGATGAACAGACTCCTGGGAATAGTGTTGGATGTGGAATATCTCTTTACCTGTGTCCACAAGGAAGAAGATGCAGATACCAAACAAGTTTATTTCTATCTATTTAAGGTGAGATTTTAACATTTTAGAAGGCCTTTCTTGTCTCCCTTGCCGTGCAAGCATGTTCATTCTCCGTGTGCCGGGTCGTGGGTGTGAAGGCTGCCAGCTGACGGTGCATTTTGCCCTGTGAAGCGTCTGTTTCTTCACGACAAGCTGCTATTTCTGTAAAAGGATCTGTGATATTTTGGACACATCACTCTCTTTGTGCACCTTCAGTTTTGTTTGCAAAAATGAGTATCTTGATTTGCATGTGCTTACGTACTTCTTTCCGTCCACCCAACAAGTGTTTACTGCAGCCTGTTCTGTGCATGGCGTTGCTGTAGCGTGACGGACGTAGAGGTGAGGAAAGGCCTTCCCCTCGTGGGGCTGACGTGTCAGTGGAAGAGGCAGTCACCGAGGAAGTAATGTGTTTGCAGGTCAAAGAGGAAAAGTATAGGGAAAGTAGAGTCAGAACGACCAGGGTGGTGGCGGGTGGGGACGTGCCAGCGAGGAGGGCCTCTCTGAGGGCAGGCAGTGAGCAGAAACCAGAGCGGGAACCAGGCGCCTCCATGCTGAGGGCTGCGGGAAGAGCCTTCCAAGACTGAAGGGAGAACCGGTGTCTAGGGCGTAGGACCTGCAGGGAGGCCCGCGCAGTGAGCAAAGGGGAGGTTGGCGTGGGGAAGCTCCGAGGATGATTTTGCTCCTTTTTTTCTTTCCTTTTTCTTTTTTTGTAGCACTGGGAAGTGAACCTAGAGCCTTTGCACTGAACTGCATCCTCAGCCATTTATTTATTTATTGTCGTTGTTATTAGTATTATTATTTTTGGTCTTTTGAGACAGGGTCTTGCCATGTAGTTCAGGCTGGCCTTGAACTAACTGGGTGGTCATGAACTTGTGGCGATCCCCCTGCCTCAGCCTCCCGGAGTGCCGTGATTACTGGTGTGTGCCCCCATGCCTGGTGATTATTTTTTATTTTTGAGACAGGGTCTCACTAAGTCCTTAAGTTGCCTAAATAAGGCTCAGACTTGCAGGTCTCTTGTGGTAGCCTCCTAGAGTGCTGGGATTACAGGCACGCTCCGCCGTGCCCAGCTTAGAAGTGCTGTTTCTTGTGCTTCCAGGGAAGGAATTAAGACTTTTCAAACTAGTTTCAGTGTTTTACCCACTGCTGTCTGTGTCCTGCTGATGAAGATCACTGGTTGTGGCCGCCCACCCTGTAGCTGCCTCTGTGTGGTCCTCCTTCGGCTCCATCCGGGCCACGCTCGGTCCCTTCCCGAAGGTCTACGTGAGCTGCTGCTCATGGTTGGGGACCTGCGGCTTTGGGAGGAGGCTGGTGACAGTGGATAGAAAAACTTCAAGTTGTCAGAAATAGATTCGTAAAGGAGGCCTCCAAGAGGGTGATTCAAACCAAACAACAAACTTGCTCTTGAGGACAGTGTGGGTCACTGTTGTGGAGCCCTTACAAGGATGCTAAAAAAAACCCAAAACACTCAAAATTTAGAGGGGTTGAAGGGAGGGGAAGGGAATGGGAAAAAAAATAGAAGCAAGATACATCATGTAGAGGTACAAACTCCCTGTGGTAAATGTGACCATTGTGTATATCCACAATGTACCAATAAAAGAAGTTAAATCAACAACAACAAAAATTATTTTTAAATTTTTAAATTTTTTGTCTTTTTGAGGGAGTGTCTCACTATGCAGTTCAGGCTGGCCTTGAACTTTTGTAGCCTAGGCTGGTCTCGAACTCGCAATGATCCTCCTGCCTCAGCCTCCTGAGTGCTGGGATTACAGGTGTGCGCTACCACGTCCAGCCAACAACAACAAAAATTTTATAGCCAGAAACATTTGCCTCTTTTAGTAATGAGCGTTGTGGTCTGTCATTTGGTCAGTCTATGTGTCTGTCTGTCTGGGAAATGAGGATCAAGCATTCAACCACTGAACTGTTAGGAATCTTAATGCAAATTCTGTACCCAGTTCCTTTAGCTTTCTTTTTTTTTTGCACTAGGGATTGAGCCCAGGGCCTTTGAACTGCATTGCCTGCTTTTCCTTTCTTTCTTGCTCCTTCTGTGTCTGTGTCTATCTCTGTCTCTTCTCTCTCTGTCTCTGTCTCTCTTCCCCCCTCCCCTCCCTTCTCTCCCCCTGCCCCCCTGTGTGTCTCTTTAAATATTGAGACAAGGTCTTATTAAGTATCTAAATTACCCAGTATGGGTTTGGACTTTAATCCTCCTGCCTCAGCCTCGCAGACTGTTGGGATTACAGGTATGCACCGCCATGCTGTCCTTGGTCCTTGTATAGCTGTTTTCTTTGTCTGAACTTATTCATCTATAATTTCTCCTCCTTTGTTTTATTAACTTTCTTTTTTTGAGACAGGGTCTCTCAATGCAGTTCAGGCTGGCCTTGAACTCATTATGTAGCCCAGGCTGGCCTTGAACTTGTGGCGCTCCTCCTGCCTGAGCCTCTGGAGTGCTGGGATTACAGGTGTGCACCACCACTCCTGGCTGTTTTATTAACTTTTTAAAATTAATATGCTCTGGGCAACCACCACTTCTGTCTCTCAGACAGAAGCTTTCTTTCCTTCAATAAATATATTCTGCTCTTAGCCTCAAAAAAAATTTAATATGCTCTTACTTTAATAGATCTTTAGCTTTGAAAACCTTGAAAACCTTATTATCACTTCATGTAATATTGCCTGAATTTTACCCTCATATTTTTTTCGTTTCCTTTCTAGCATTTGAGATTCTTCTGTATTGTGTTAACTTTTCCCCTTAAATTGTACGAACGGGAGCGTTTGAATGGGTAGGAGACAAGAGTGGGAGGGAGAGAACATGTGTTTTTAGAGTTGGGCGGCTGCTGCGACATTAATTGTAAAGAAGATGGAGAGGGCAAGGACAAGGAGCGAGGAGGAGGCCGTGTGGACGCGCGGCCGGGCGTGAGGGCACTGCAGGCCACGGCTCCTTGACGTGGCCGTGAGGCCCCGAGCCGTCCAGGTTGAACCCTGGCGGGTTCTTCCTTTTCAGAGCTTCTTTGGAAAGAGCTCTTAGCTGAAGGAAAACAAGGTCTGCGTGACTGCAGCTATTATTTGTGTTGGAACGGTGCTCGCGGCAGCTGCCTGCTGTCCCGCTGGACGTGGAGGTGGTGTCAGGGTTTCCGTGCTGTCAGCCTCTTTTGCTTTATATCCACCCAGACATCCCCAAAGCACTGCTCTGCTGTTTGGGGTTTTTTTCCTTTCTGCTTTGAAGGTTCATTTTTTCCCTGTTTCTTTCTTTTTTTTTTTGGTTTTTGGTTTTTTTCTGGTACCAGGAATCGAACTCACAACCTTGCACTTGCCAGGCAGGCGCTGTGCCACTGAGCTAAATCCCCAGCCCCTCTCCCGGTTTCTTACCTCCTTCCTCTTTAAATAACAGTGCAAGTATATCTGCCTATGGAAACATAATCGGCGGTGCTCAGCCCTCTGCACCGTTCCAGTCATCTCTTGGGTAAAGGAGTTACACATGACCTGTTCCTTCACTTCTGAAAGGTAGTTCCTGAACCTCATGTTTCAGTTCTTAAGTTAAAATGTATTCTGTATTTTGGTGGTGTTTAAAAACACTTCAGTGTTGGATGCCAAAAACAAACCCCATGGAAAGCTGCTTCCTAAAGCTGAAGTGGGTCTTAGTGCCTGCTCCTGCCACTGGGGATCTGTCACTTCCCAAATGTGACCTTGGATGGCATGTTGCTTTAGTTTCCTCCTCTGTAAGTTACAGATCGTAGTAGCATCTGTCACAAAAGACTGTTAGGAGGTCAGGTATGGTGATGCATACCTGGAGTCTCAGTTACTAGGAGGCTGAGGCAGGAGGATCACTTCAGCCTGGAAGTTTACGGCCACATAGAAGAACATAGTGCAACTGTGTCTTACACGAGCAAATCAACTAGGGTGTCTGGAAAAAGTAGGGATATGATTAATAATTCTTTTTTTTTTTTTTTTTGAGGCAAGGTCTCACTGTGTAGAGCAGGCTGGCCTTGACCTTGCTTATGTAGCCCAGGCTGGCCTCAGATTCATAGTGATCCTCCTGCTTCAGGTACCTGAGTGCTGGGATTACATGTGTGCACCACCACGTCTGGATTAATGGTTCTTTGTGTGTGTGTGTGTGTGTGTGTATATGTGATGCTGGGGATGGAACCCAGGGCCTTCCACATGCTAGACAAGTGCTCTGTCACTGAGCTATGTATCCCCCGGCCTAATAAAACTTTTTTATATGGCTGCCTGCCCCCCCATGTCATCATTTTGTAGATAAAGAAACTAAGATTCAACATATCCCCCAATTTACCTCATTTTACCTCCAAATTGAAATCCCTAGTGGGCCAACTTCCCCAGTGGTCTGATTTTAACTTGGAAAAGAAGTAGGCAACGAAAAGTACTTATACTTAACATTTTATGGTTCATTTTTATACATATCCTTGCAAAGTACATACTTTGCTTATTTTTATTGCAAATTTATTATTGTAGAGATGGGCATAATATGTTGAAGGATTAATAAATGCCCCATACTCAAAAGACACAGCTCTGTGGAGACACCAGTGATTTCCATGAACTCCTGAGAGAATGGTTGCTGTTTTCGTTTCTGTTGAAAAGGCAGTAAGTGGAGAAAGGAAATCGGGGTGTAACTTAAATAACTGCATGGCCACCTCATAATAGCTGACATATAGAGTGTACGGGAGATTCAAGTAAAGGTTCTAGGTAAGTAAGTAATTGCAATAGCAAGTTTATTTTCAACTTACTTCATGGTAAGCGTCTCCGTGTTTTCCTTTCTGTTTGCTCTTTGTGGTTCTAAATTCCAGTGGGAGGGATCGTGAGGGCTGTTTTTGTTTTGTGGGCATCGAGCTGCCAGAGCACTTGGCCTGCATTCTGCACATGGGGGAAAACAAAGAAAGACCACAAGGGTGAGAACTGCCGACTGAGAGCCCTGCGAATTCCTTCCCAAGGAGCAGGCCCGTGGTCGTGCATTGGACACACGGCTGCTACAGCATCTTCTTCCCGGCCTTGTTTGTGCAGCTTGGATGGTCTTGGCCTGCGGGGTGGTTCAATAAGCCCCTTCAGGACTTGGGCACACCTGCAGTGGCCTAAATGGGCATTACACAGTGTGCAGGCCTCTGCCTGTGGGAAGCCGGAAGCAGGAGAGAAGGGGAAGTGAGTGGGGGCACCGTGTCTGGTGGGCTGTCTGTCTTGTGGTCACTCCTGGGTGGTCTAGGCTGCCGGGAACATGAAAGGTGTCTAGTTCCTCATGGCTCTGGTTATGGGCATGAAGGCACATTTGTGTTGCCAGATAGTTTGCCTGTTTGACTTCTTTTTTTTCTGAGACAGTGTCTTGCAATGTAGAGTCCAGGCTGGCTTTGTACTTGTGATCCTCCTTCCTCAGCCTCCTTAGTGCTGGAATTATAGGCCCATATCACCATGTTAAGTTGCTTATTTAAGTCTTTATTTACATATAGCTGGGCATGGTGGGGCAGGCCTGGAATCCCAGCACTCAAGAAGCTAACGTAGGAGGATCCAGAGTTCAAGCTCATCCTGGACTGCATAGTGGGGGGTGGGGAGATTTCTTTATATATGTTAAGTACAATATGATAACCTTCCTTCAAGTGTGAGTGTGTGTGTGTGTGTGTGTGTGTGTGAGTGTGAGACAGACACACACAGAGACACAAAGAGATTAATTTTTTTTACCCATGATTTCTTTGTAGCTCTTGAGGAAATCTATTTTGCAAAGAGGAAAACCTGTGGTTGAAGGCTCTTTGGAGAAGAAGCCCCCTTTTGAAAAACCTAGTATTGAACAGGTAAAAAGATAAAAAGAAGCTATTTAAATTGAAGACCGAAGAAATCCCTTTTGTTTTGTGGGAGGCTATTGGCAGATAAATCCAGGGCCTCTTGCAGGCTAGGCAAGTACTGATGAGTTACATGTCCACTGTGAAAAAAACCCTTTAAATCCTCTTGCATCCTCCATACCTAGCTTGAGATGTTTACCAAGTCTGTAGAAATTGTCTTGACCCATTTGGATCACACGTGCACGCCTAATTTAGTACATGATCTCAGTTGTGTTGTTTAGGGTTGTCATATACTTAAAATTCACTGTGTGTTTGGGGAAGAAAAAAAATAACTAGAGCGTGTAGTTTGTAAGAACGCACAAAATGTGCTTTTTCTTGTTGGTGTTTCAAAATCGAATCTCTGTCCTTTTGTTTGGCACTGTCTGAAAGAGCTGTTGAGGTGAGGAAATGCAGCGGTAATGTGAAGAACATTGTAAGTCAAGCAAAAAAGAAATGAGTTTGTACCCAGAAATCGACTTTCTGCTGCATTACGCTTCCTGGAAGGAAGCCGTTCACTACGGAATCTGTTAAAATGCGTAGACTGTTCCTGTCAGGGCTGTCAGAATCTCGCAGCAGCGTCCCTTTTTAACCTTTGTTTGGCTAAATAACTCTCAGTCTGGACTGAATTTCTTGGTGAGAATCTGATTATAGAAGACACGATACTAGATCCTTACAAATAAATGTGTTTTTGTTAGTTTTCTTGAATTACATCTTGATTTCAAACTATTAAATAAGAACATATTGTTCTTCTGTGTGAAATTAGATGAGATGGGAATGTAGAAAGGTTAATTCACAGCTTTTTTAAAAAAGCAGATAATTTTGAATCATAGGCTTCCTATGCGTTAGGTTTCTTCCTGAAACCAAAAGAACAATAACAAAGCGTTTAGTTTTAGTGCCTTAGTTCAGTGGAAGAGGGACTTAATTTTTTTTTCTTTTTAGTTGTTTAGTTCTGTGGAATACATGCTAGCAGCCTTTTGATTAAAATTTTATCAAAGAAAAACATAATATCTATTGAAGAACCACATTACATATGATCTAGTATGCTGGTAGCATTCTGCAAGCCAGAATTACTCTGCAAAGCAGACACATTTTATTGTTCAGGAGGTTTGACCTTTTCAGTCCCTGGTTTTGATTTTCTCTTTAATGCTTCAGGACTGGAGTGGCATAGAATGACAGACAATTCAAAGTATTCCTGTCTTGTCACTTTTCATCTCCTATGATGTAAGCAAGATTCCCTCCTGGCACTGCTGTTTTAAAGACAGGGAAAAGATTTTTGTGAATGGGAAGTGGCTGTACTTTGCTACTCATCCCAGGAGTGCTGGCTGTGTGTGTGTGAAGAATTAGATGATTGCGTGAATAAATTACCTTCCTTCCTTTTAAGGGCGTGAATAACTTTGTACAGTACAAATTTAGTCACCTGCCATCGAAAGAAAGGCAAACAATAGTTGAGTTGGCAAAAATGTTCCTGAACCGGATCAACTATTGGCATCTGGAGGCACCATCTCAACGAAGACTGCGCTCTCCCAACGATGATATTTCTGGATACAAAGAAAACTACACAAGGTAATCAGATGACAAGCCCTCCCCCTCTGGCCCCGTAGAGCATGTTGCAGACTTGAAATTACTATTTGTCTTTGCAAGTGAAGGGTTCCCAGTTATTATGGTGGCTCCATCACTTTAGAGAGAATGTCTATGTAATTTAACTTGCAAACTTCTACTTTTCATGAATAGCACAGTGTTTTGGAGGGTGAGAGAGCCGAATCATCTAGGCCTGTACTGTCCAGTGTGATAGTCACTAACCACATGTGGCTCTTGAGCCCTTGAAATGTGGCTAGTTTGAATTGCAATTTTTTTTCTTTTCTTTTTTTTTGGTCATTTTGAGACAGGATCTTGCTGTGCAGTTTAAGCTGGCCTTGAGCTCGCTTTGGAGCCCAGGCTGGTCTCAAACTTGCAACTATCCTCCTGCCTCAGCCTCCTGAGTGCTGGGATTACAGGCATGTGCCACCACGCCTGGCTGAATTGTGACTTCTAAAACTGTATTTTTAAAAAGTTTAACATAGGGCTGGGGATATAGCTCAGCACCATAAGCTCCTGCCTGGCAAGCGCAAGGTCCTGAGTTCGATTCCTGGTACCAAAAAAAAAAAGAAAAAAATAGTTTAAGATAGCTCATTAGTAGTTGTTTGTTTCTTTGTGGTGTTGGGGATCTAAGCCAGGGTCTTGCACGTGCTGGTAAAGTGCTCTGTTGCTGACCTGCATCCCCAGTTCAATTTTTAAAAATTGATTACATACAGAAAAGATAGTATATTGGCTATAGAGGATTAAATAAAAATAGTGAAGTTATTATCACCTGTTTTTACTTTGTCAGTGTAGCTACTGGCAGATTTAAATTACTTACGGCTTCTATTTCATTTCTGTGGAACATCACTGACTAGGTAAACTATACGGTTTGTAATACAGAGAACCCTCAAAAAAAATACAATGTTCATTATGATAATGGAGTTAAGGAATTTTTAAAAGAAAGATTCTCCTTTTATTAGCACCATGATGGACCTGATACTACTATACATAATACCTTCCAATATTTCCCCTATAAGTACATATTTTGCATTATAATGAAAGACAACATAGAATTTTAGGTCCTTTCCACTTCCCCCATTTGACAGCATATTAAACATTTCATGAATTATGATACGGCCCATTGACTTAGCATACCATAGTTTAGCAACTGTTTTCCTATTTAGGATGTTCAAATTCTGCACATAATCTTGGATTGAACATGTATTTTGTAAAGTAGAAATTTATTTTAACTGCTGATGATAGAATGATAGAATCTTAAACGTGGATTGTAGAAAATATAACAGCCTGTGTTCATTTTCACTTAAATAATGGTGGCCATTCTATTCTTTATTATAACTTTTCTACATTTATATTTTAGAGGCACATCAAGCTTACTTCCGGGATGCTGTGGAGTTTTAGTATGTTTTTTCTTTTTCCTGGTTTAAAGTAAACATCATCATTTTTTTTTTTTTTTTTTTTTTTGGTCTTTTTGAGACAGGGGCTCGCTATGCAGTTCAGGCTGGCCTTGAGCTCACTTTGTAGCCCGGGCTGATCTCGAACTCACAATGATCCTCCTGCCTCAGCCTCCTAAGTGCTGGGATTACAGGCGTGCGCCATCACGCCCGGCCGCATCATCATTTGATAGCCTTTTCAAGACCACGTGTACCAGGTTATTTTTGGTAACAGCAGATGTGATGGAGGAATGGGTATACTTTTAAGTTTTATTTTCTGTCACCGACCTATATTTTTATGAGGCCATAAAATTCCCTCCCTTTCTCCCCCTAAACCTTGACCACTGTGTAATTTGAATTATAAAATATTTTCTCTTAGTAATTGGTATTTATAGGAATTACAAATTTCTTCAAAATCAGTTTTTATTGTTAGATCTTTATCTCTGCATCTTTAATTGCAGGGTTTTACATTAATAGTAGTTTGATGTTATTGTTTGTGTGGGTTTTTTTTTTTTTTTTGGGTACAGGGAATCGAACTCAGGACCTTGTGCTTGCCAGGCAGGCGCTTGTGCCGCTGAGCTATATCCCCAGCCCGTTTGATGTTACTGTAACTGTTGTTTATAATGAGTTGGAATAATAAATCTGACAAAAAAAATGTATCTTCATCTTTTTTTTTTTTTGGTACTACTGGTGATTGAACGCAGGGCCTTTGTACTGAGCTGCATCCCAGGTCCTTTTTAATTTATATTCTTATTTATGTATTTGTTTGTTTGTTTTTTGGTTTATTTATTTTTGCGGGACAGGGTTTTGCCCTGTTGTTCAGGCTGACCTTGAACTTGTCTGCCTCTTGCCTCAGCCTCCTGGGTGCTGGGATTACAGGCATGCGCCACCATGCCCGATTTATTTTAATTTTTTAAAGACAGTATCTTAGTTACTTTTCTCTTGTTGGTGAGACAAAATACCTGACACCCAAAATTAAGGAAGGAAAGGTTTATTTAGCTCACAGTCTGTGGAGATTTCAGTCCATACTCTGCTGACTCCGAGGCAGAGTGGCATTTCGCAGAGGGCAGCCATTCATGGAGGAGGTAGATAGCAAAAGCAACAAGAGCAAAAGGGAGGAATGGCGGCAAGCAGCCTCTTTCTCTCCCTTCCATATACAAACTATCTGCCCCAGGGCGGGTGTAGCGCTCGCATTCATAATCCCAGCATTGGACCATGGATCAATCATAACTCTAGAAGCCCGCCCATGACTGCGTGAGACTTTAACATCCAGACACAAACCATAACAAACAGGGTCACTTTCAGTTGCTAAATTGCCCGTGCTGGGCTCAAACTCACGATTTTCCTGCTCAGGCTCCCAGAGTACCCGGATGTGCGCCCAGCTGACGCTGAAAGTTTGTCAAACCCCTGAGTGTGTTCCCGACTTTAGAGAGAAAATAGTTTCATCAAGAAAAAGGAGAATTACATGTGAATCAACATACTTCAGCAGGAGGCGTGACTATATTTTAGAAAACAATATAAAAACAAAGCAGCATTTGGGAATTACCAAGAAATGGGTGGTTCTTATAAATACTTAGAGCAGCAGCAGTAGAAATTGGGCTTTGAAGGAGCTCTGGGTTCGATGCGTGGCTGCTTCTTCCCCTGCTCTGTGAGCCTGAGACCCCGCCTTCCCTCCACGGCCTCGGCGTTCCTCCACTTCTGGACTCTTGGGTGCTGTGTGGGTTGCGTGGGAGTTTGGACAGCAGGACAGGTGCTGGGGAGATGCTGGTTGTCATCCCCCCCCACACACACACATGGCTCTCTCAAGTTCGGTCACTGCCTCCAGGAGGCTGGTAAGCTACAGCCTTCAACGGACAGTTGAATGAAAATTAATTATTTTAGAATATTATTTTAGAGGCTAAGCTAATAGGGGATAGAAAGACAGCAGAAGGCTTCTTTCTATCCCAGCAGCCGAAGAGAAAGAGTCAGACAGCAGTGAAGAGAGACACTGAAAGGAATATGCCCTGTGAGTTCTGAAACCCGCTGATTTCCAGGTGGAATGTAGATCACGAGTCACTGTGAATAATAAATACGGAGGTGAAGGTAGTGATGCCACCCCCACCCTTGCTTCCCCATCCCTGTGCCCTGTGGATGGAGAAAGGGAAGCGGAGAGGAAGGAACAACTTGGGAAAATTAGGAGGCTCAGGCTTTGACTCAGAATAAAACCCTACTGCTGTGAGCACACTGGGGAATTCAGAAAACCACACACTGCCGCAGCATGGTGTCTCCTTGATCCTAATGTCTCGGGAATGGGTCATACTATAGGCTGCAGGCACCGGCAGCGTTTATCTTGGGTAAGAGAATGCATAGTACCTCCAGACTGTTTCATCTTAAAATTTACAGTAGTGGTGGCAGTTAGGACAAAGGGGCCCGAGACTTCTGGAGCACAGCATTAGCATGAAAATGGGGTAAAATCGGATTCTCTGTGGAAAAGATTGTGCATGGAAAATGGCTGTGTTCCTTACAGAGCGAACCTGCCAGGCTTTATCTGATAAAAAATCAAAAGCGGAGTGAGCAGAAGATCTGCTTACATTACTTACTCTGTATTATGAATAAAGGAAAAGGAAAAATTTTTTTAAACGTAAATTAACCGTATATTTTACTCCCAGAAATGACTATGATTTTAGAAGAAAAGTCTGGACAAATATTTTGAAGTTTGCTGCATTTCACGATTGTGCACTAATATAATTCCCTGAAGAAGTAACACAAAAAGAAGGTGTTAGGGAGTGTGACTGCTTAAAATACATCGCACCAACAGAATCCACCAAAGGAAAGTGGCAAATAATTAGTGTTAGGTTTTGAGGGTGTTTGGTTTTTGAGACAAGGTCTCTCTGTGTAGTCCAGGCTGGCCTTGAACTGGAATCACAGGCATGCACCACCATGCCTCCTTTAGATGTTCACCTGTGCAGAGCTTCTGAAAGGTGGAGATGTGCTCCCACACTGGGGAGATGTCTCCTAAGAGTATAGAGCAAGATGGATGTGATTACCTGGGCTTTGGGAAGCAGCTTTATGTGGCCGCTGTTTTGTGGAGTGGAGCCTGTCAGCATGCACACTGAATGTGTGTACTTGGACACAGAGGGCTAGAACAGTGTTTATCAGACAGAGGAGAAGCGCCAGAGCCTAGGAGACAGGAGCACTTGGTCAGCACTTCACTATGGGTTCCAGATCCCTTATCCAAAATGGTCAGCACCAGAAATCTTTCAGTTTGGGGTTTTTCAAATTTTAGAATATTTGCATAGACTTTACTGGTTAAAAATCCCTCATCTGAAAAATGTGGAGTTTTGGAATATGAAGCATTTTAGATTTCAGACTTGTTTTGCTAGGTCTGTAGGAACTAGCTTTTAAGAGAAGCACTGGAGCACATTGGGCTGTTTTATATGGGAGATTTGTGTGCTATGGCTTGGCAGAAAGTTTATCTGCAGTTTGCTCATGTCCAGAGACTTTGCCTGAGACCGAGACTAAGGGCAGTGGACTGATTAATCTGGCAGAAGAAATTTCAGGACAGTTGAGTATTGAGGCTGTGGCATTGTTGTTGTTGGGGGCTTTTAGCCAGATTTATGTTGTGAATCAAGAGCACAGAGCCCAACAGGATGATTTAAAATGTGATTTTGGCCAACAGGGAAGCCTCAGTAATACAATAGACTACAAAGATAGAGCTGAGGAGATCTTGGTTGCTGAGAAGAAACAGAAGACTAGAAAAGATGGCCCAGGGCACCACAAAAAAAGCAGCAGGACTCCAACCTTTGCAGCCTCAAAACGGCAAAGATGCAAGATTTTGCTTTGAGGAGAAAGCCACAGAGCACCATGTTCCAGAATGGTGGCAGCATAGAAAATTTGTTCCTCAGAATTGGATTCAGAGTGCCTGGCAATCCAGGCACTTGACCCCTATATCCAAGAGAGAGGGAATCCTGGTGACTGCTCTAGCTGGCAGCAGACTTCGGCATCACCCACTTGATGGTGGTTTTAGGTGCATGCAGAATGCAAGAATTGTGGGGTTAAGAAGGCTTCCACCCCGATTTCAGAAAGACTGGGAGGCCAGGCAATGTGCCCCTCAGACGACAGTGTGTCCCTGAGAGGGCAGTGTGCGAAGCTGTGAGGGTGAAGCCAAAGGTAAAGTATAGACCCCAGAAGTTTAAAAAAGCTAGAAACATAGGTTATGTTGAGAAAACCTGCAAGGAAAGAGCAGAGTGGCCCAAGAAAAAAGCTGCAGGAGCTACAACCACCGAAAGTGCCCTAGGGGAGGAGCCGCTGAAGCCCTCTGGAGCTGGCACCTTGTCACAGATTGCCTTAGATGCTGCACATGGAACTACAAGATTTAATGTTTGCTCTGCTGGATTTTGGACTTGCTTTGGTCGCAGAGCTTTGTATCTCCTCTGTTTGTAACTTTTAAAATGGGAATGTTTATCTTGTGCCATTAAATGTTGCAAGTGTTTAACTTTTCATTTGTACCAGGGCTTGCAGCTCCTCAGAGGAGACTCGGACTTTTCAGCAATGCTGAAACTGTTAGGACTTTGGCAACTCTTAGAGATGGACTAAATGCCTTTGGCATAAAGGGATGCGCATGAGTTTTGGGCAGGCCACAAGCGAAATGTTACGGTTCTAATGTAATACAATGTTGGTATAATTAATACTGGTTCTTAAGGATTGTTAGATCTGTGTTACAATGTTCAAGTTGTAAATTGATATAAATAAGCATGTCTTTGTAGCTGAAAACCTGTTTTAAAAAATGTGTCTAGTTGCCAAGTTGGCAACCGGTGGATTTTAATGCTTGATACATTATATCAACTAGAGAAGTCTAAAAGTTTAACTAAGTGACTCAACAGGGGTCTAGGGTTCTCACTGTATAAACATCCTGAGCCTGTGCAAGAGGAGGGCAAGGAGATGGTGTGAGTGCTACACCCACCCAAGGGCGGGTAGCCTGCTTACAGTATAAGGGGAAAGAAGAGGTTTTTTTCTCCCCTTTTTGCTTTTGTTGCTTCTGCTGTCTTCTGCTGCCTTAAATTGTTGCTCCCGTGCCCTGCCACCCTGCCTTGGAGCCAGCTGATTATGGACTGAAACCTCCATAGACCGTGAGCTAAATAAACCTTTCCTTCCTTAACTTTGGGTGTCAGGTATTTTACTCCAGCAACTAGAGAAAAGTAACCAACACACAGGGCCTTATGCATGGCAAGCAAGTGTTCTACCACTTAGCTTAATCTCCAGCCACTGATATATGTTTTGCACTTAAAATACGTCTTAATACAGTCACTAAATTTTAAACACTTAAAACTAGAGTTAAAATTGTGTTTAATGGGAAAAATATTTTGGACTATTATCATTTGAAAGTAGACTTGAAGTTGAATAAATAAAAATAATACTTAACTCTTCAGCTGTACTGGCTGCATTTCGACGCTCAGTAGGTACATGATGCCAGTGGCTGCTGTATTAACCTGCATGGATCTAAATTATTTCCATCATTGTTGAACGCTTTATTTAGTGTCAGCACTGGTTTAAATCATAGAATATTACACAGATTGTGTTATATTTTTAATATGAAGTCTTAAATAGTCTTGGGATAAAAAGATCTCATGAAGTTGAAGTACTAATTATTAAGGTTTATGACCATTTAACATTTATAGTTTCATAAGTAGTTACTTGAGATCTGGATGTCCCCTCACTGCTTAATATTTTGTTAACTTTATTAAGTGACCCCAGATTAATAAAGGTTGGCTTTTTTTTTTGGTACCGGGAATCAAACTCAGGACCTTGCACTTGCCAGGCAGGTGCTTATGCCACTGAGCTATATCCCTGACCTAAAGATCGGCTTTGAAGGTGATGAGTTCCTGTGTGAACTCTGAGATGAACGCTCTCTCTTGTTTTTCTGCTGCCAAGGTCACTGGACAGGATACAACGCAACACTTGAGATACCCATTTCAGTATTACAATCATAAAATGACGTTTGGTACGCATTATAAAGAGATGAAAGTTGAGAGAACAGAAGTAGGAGCAAGGGTTTAAGATGAATTTTGAATCAGGCAGGGAAGCTAACACTAATGAAAGTTTTCTTCTCTGAAGGTGAAACGCCGCTGCAATTACCATCTCCTCACACAGGGGAAATATGATGTAATGGGCAGGATAAGATCAGAAATGAGGCCGTGGCAGAAGTAAATTAATACTATTTCAGTCTGCATCAAGTTCACTGAGGGCTTCCTGTAGCAGCTCTGGCGTGTTAGAGAGCTTCCCCACTTCAAACGTTAAAGGATAAAGGGGGAGAGCCTTTCAGTTTTGGAAAGCAGGCCTATCCTAGAAGAGAGTGATTTGGACCCGCTGCCAAGGATGTGTGAAATAACAGTTTTTGACCAGATTACCCTGGTTTGGTGCCACTCGGCATGACTCACGGTTATGTACATGTTACTGGGTCCTGGGAATTTTAGACCTTGTGTTTTGGGGAGACAAAAAAGAAGAAAAAAGATCATTTTTGAGAAGTCTTTTTCGCTGGATGTGGTGGTGCACCCCTGTAATCCCAGCACTTGGGAGGCTGAGGCAGGAGGATCACTGTGAGTTTGAGGCCAGCCTGGGCTACAAAGTGAGCTGAAGGCCAGCCTGAACTGTACAGCGAGACCCTGTCTCAGAAAGGAAAAAAACAAAAAAAAGTTTTTTTCATTCAGTCGCTCCTGTTGTCTGAAGGAGCTTTCTAAATCAGGTGGCCTGTTTTGCCAGCATACCCTCGAACCGTGGTCAGATTTTGAGAAAGCCCCTTATTTCCCTCTGGCGTGCGCCCTCCTCCAGTCCTGTCAACGGTGAGGCACGTTTTTGATTTTGAGTCTAGTTACTGCAGAGTGTGTACCTAGGCCACAGGTGGTGGAAACCTGTTACTTTCTGCATTTCAACTGAATTTTGAGCGGCCTTGAAGGTCTTTATCGCAGCTTCAGCACTGTGTGTGTGATCAGCGGCGGGCATTTTTAAAAACCTTAAATTTCTGACCCCAAAAGGGGTTTCCTCAGCTTCTCCTTTATGTTTTTCTTTTATTTAAACTGTCACTTATTTGCCAGAAATAGGAATTACAGTATGTACCTTACACCTGGGTTCATGTAATACTCAGAGAACCCATTAAAGTACTATAGCTGTATTCGTCCTTATTTTATGGCAAAGCAGCATTTCCAGAGTGGCCAAGGGGAGGTTTGATTCCAGGGCCGTTTGACTCTAGGGCTCCTGGCTGGAGGCGGCGGAATTGGACAATGCTAACACCAGCCAGTGGTGCCGTTCAGGGCGAGCTCACCGAATGCCCAGGTCTCACTAGCTGACTGTGATACTGTTGCCTGCCATCGCAGGCCCGCTCTCTCCTGCTGTGGAGAATGGTAGAGTCACCATCGTTGGGCCGGATGACCTGGGGCCTGACGGGACACTGACGGTTCTCATTTCCTCTTGTGACAGGTGGCTGTGTTACTGCAATGTGCCCCAGTTCTGTGACAGTCTACCTCGGTATGAAACCACACAGGTGTTCGGGAGAACGTTGCTTCGCTCGGTCTTCACTGTCATGAGGCGACAGCTCCTGGAGCAAGCAAGACAGGAAAAGGACAAACTTCCTCTTGAGAAACGAACTCTAATCCTTACCCACTTCCCAAAGTAAGGGAGAGCTTCTGCTGCGCTGTTTCATCCCAGGACTTGAGGTTTCTTGTTTCTCCTCCCTCCCTCCTTCCGCCCCCTCTCTCTCCCTCTCTCTCTCTTTGGTTATTTTAAGATAAGATCTTGCTATGTAGTTCCGACTGGCTTTGAACTCACTATCTGAGCAGCAGCTCGGGTTGGTCTTAAAATGCTCAAGTGCTAGGATTACAGGCGCGCAGTGCCACGCCTCGCCTCGGGACCTGACATTTCAGAATACATGCCAAAGCCTGTAGGTCCCAGAATGAAGGGCGGTAGAAAAAGCATCCCAGGGAGCAGGAGGAAAGGCTCCTCGGTTCCCCTGGTGAGTCTTCTTGGTGGTTTTCCAGCTCCGTTTATTAGCTTGACTTCATGTCGCTGGAATCCCTCCTTCTGTAGTACCACCCCCACCCGCCTGTCTTTGAGTCCTGTGCAGTGGGGCTGCCCTTTATTTTTTCTGTTCGGCTGCCAGGAAGCTTACAGGGACGGGAGAGAGCCCAGCAGTACGGTTTCCATCCACTCAGTGGTGGGGCCGAGAACTCACCTGGCTCTTCTCCCCATCCTGAGTCTCCCGTCCTTTCTGAGCATTGCTGAACCACCCTGCCTCAGCCACCCTGCCCCTCAGTCTGCGGAGACTAGACTGCCAGACAAGACTGGCCCGCAGCAGGAGCTACTTCAGCGTCACCTTCATACTTCGTGCTCAGTGTCTTGGAGAGTGGACTGTCCTCTCTTGCACCGGCTTCGTACTTGTGGGAGAGCCAGAACATTGCATGGTCTTTTCAGTACCTGCCTCGTACTGAACCCAGAGAATGCACCTGCCAGGCCGGGATTTTATCTGCGAGCCACACCCCCAACTCCAGTATTTTCAGATGAATGAAATGTGTCAAAGCAGTACAGACCTAAAGTGCTGTCTGTCCTTTGTGCCTTGGAAATGCATCTCCAATGCCAGACACCAAATGTAGGCGAAGAGGTTGGCTGAGGGAGGAGCTTGGGGTACAGTTTGTGACTTTCTGTGGAGCAAGGACAGCAGGGTCTGAATGAGACAGCTGACTTTATGGTCATCATTTCACCTAGGTTGGTACTTGGTGGGGGAGCGAAAAGGTATAATGTATTTTCTTCTTTTTTTTTTAGTCTTTTTGAGGCAGGGTCTTGCTCTGCAGTTCAGGCTGGCCTTGAGCTCACTTCGTAGCCCAGGCGGGTCTCGAACTCACAATGATCCTCCTGCCTCAGCCTCTGGACTGCTGGGATTACAGGGTGTGCCACCATGCCCAGCTTTTAAAAAAGTGTAATTTAAAATGCCTCTCTGCTCTAGGCATGAGATAGGCGTCCTTCCTTACCCTGTTCATAACTGCTGATTTAGGGAGGAGAATATGAGCTGAGTGTGGTCGCCACGCCTGTAATCCCAGCACTCGCGAGGCTGAGGCAGGAGGATTACCATGAGTTTGAGGCCAGCCTGGACTACACAGAGACACCCTGTCTCAAAAATACCAAAAAAAAGAATATTTAGAGGAGGCATTGTGTTCTTCGATCAAAGGTTGTTCATACTTCGAGTTGAGAAGCTAGATTTTTATTACAAAGATACTGTTATTGGATTACCCAGTTTGTGTCTCAGGCGAGACAGTTTTAGTTATTAAAAATAAGTCAGATCCAAACAACAGCAGCGAAAAAAATAGTTTTCTGATACATAACAACTGAAAATTCCTTGGCAGTTTAATTCAAATTCTAAGCTTAGATAAAGGATATTGTGGTAAACTCTCATGGGATTTAGCTGATAGCCAATACTGTACATGTCTTTTATGTTTGTATGTATGTGTGTGTATGTGTATATATATATATATATGTATATATTTTTGAGACAGGGTCTCGTTATGCAGTTCAGGCTGGCCTTGAGCTCATTTTGTAGTCCAGGCCGGCCTCGACCTCTCAATGATCCTCCTGTCTCAGCCTCCTGAGTGCTAGGATTACAGGCATGTGCCACCTCACCAGGCTATGTACATGTATGTTAGTGTTCTGGTTGTATGATTTATAAGAAAAACAGTATATGAGAGTGAGATGTGACATGAATATCCCTGTACCCCAGGGAGAAAGATTTCAAGGTCCTTAGAGCCACTGCAGTTTGAGTGTTACCCCTAACACGGATTATGATTTCTGGGCATGTTTATGTAGTTCAGTGGTTGCCTTTTAACTGGTCTAAGCTCTTTGGCTTAGATTTTTAAGGCAGTTTCATACTTCTTTATTACATTTGCCACATAAGCGATATTTTATGTTTTCAGTTGATAGTTGTCATCATGTCTCTAAGCCAAGGGATAAGCGTGGACCCTGCTCCCACAGCAAGTTTTTTTTTTCATAGCAAATTCATTTCGCTTCTTGCAGATATTTGCTAATTATAGTGTTTTGTTCCTTCAACCCATATTTCTGGCATCCTTGTGCTGTTGAGCTAAAAATTCAATGCTGCTTTCTTTTCTTCTCTGTTTCTAATAGCAGGGTGAAACTACCACCCACTTTTCCTTGTAAATCCCTTTTCATTGAATATGACAACATTTGAGAATGCTGGGGACTTCTACCTACAGTTCTGGCTGCAGAATCATACATTTTGGGGTCTGAGGTGCTATTTGAGTCTTAGAGTCAGAGAGGGGCCCACTTCCCAGACCCCGTGTGGTCGCTGTGATTCTCACATGCGTTCTTACGGCTTCTGTCCTTATTTTGTATCTTCATCTGCTGCTGTTTCTACTATTTGGCTTCTACTTGAGTCTTTCCTTCCCTCATCTACTGATTTGCTTTACATTGAGTATCTACGTTTCATTCAAAATGTGATAAATGCACCTGTTAAAGAAAATTCAGCTTATAGAGGGTAGAGAAGAAAAAGACCACCCACAGCCTCACGACTCTGACCTACTTTTAGTGCTTTTATTTATTTATTTTTTGGGGGACAGGGTCTTTCTGTGTAATTCAGGATAGCCTTGAACTCGCTGTGTCACCTAGGTTGACCTCAGACTCATGGCATTCCTCCTGCCTCAGCCTCCCAGGTGCTGTGTAGGCTTGTTCCACCACACCCTGCTTTTTAGTGCTTTTACATATTTCTATTTAGTCTCCATGTATTAGAGAAAAAGTCAATAAGAGAAACATATAGGTGTATGATAAAAATAAATTATATAGCTGATTGGGTTGATGTGAGGATTCACTTAGAAGTTCTTAAGGGTAGTTCAGGCACAGAGCATGTACTAGATCAGTATTAGCAACTTCTGGATGGTAATGATAGTGACAGTGACGGCCACATGGAGAGCTGAAGTCTTGGCTGGTCTCACCAAGGAAGACTAATGCATTTTCAGTAATGCATTGCTCTGTGTATCCTATGTTACATCAAGCTTCCAGGGTCAAGGAGGGTAAGATATATTTCTATATTTGAATATACCAGGGCTACTCATTTGAGTCATAATTCTCTAGTACACTTCTAAGTTGAAGTTGGGGCCTGCATGTGAAGGTTATTGACGTAAATGATTAGGCTTTGGTCACTCTAATAATACAGTAAGTTTTCCTTTGTTTGTTGTTTTAATCTTACTATTGCTTTTGCTTTTGCGTCTAGGTTTCTGTCCATGTTAGAAGAAGAAGTTTATAGTCAAAACTCTCCTATCTGGGATCAGGATTTTCTCTCAGTCTCTTCCAGAACCAGCCCGCTAGGAATCCAAACAGGTAGGTTTCTCGTTATAGGAATCAGAAAAAAAACCAGGGAGGCCATCCTAAAATGTTAGTTGTGACTCACTCTGCATTCACGTGTGTTCCATCAAGCAATTTAGAGCTAGCAAAGCAGCAGACATGGGCAAATCTTGGCATGCGTGCCTCTATTTACATGAGAAAGTAGGTGCAAGCCGTCGTCTTGGAACTGTGTCTCTATTGATGAGGAGTGTAGGTGTGAAGCAAATAATTAGCAGTTATATGAACACTTACCTTGTGGCGTAAAATGCCAGCTCTGCAGCCAGAACGGTCTTTTCAAAGATGCTTTACAGTCACAGTTCATGGCTACGCGTGGCTGGGAATCAGGACTCAGTCTGGCGTCTGCATCTGTGTTGTCCGTCTTATGCATCAGCTTATGCCAGTGACAAGGCTGGATGGCGGGTAGAGAGGGTAGTCCTGAGTCTCAGGATATAAATGCTTCTTCATGCTGCCGGGGAATCTCTGAGATTGTCTTAGGCCAGCTAGCGGTACCAGTTGACATTTTACGAGGAAGGGGAAGACATACCTTTTGGAGTCACAGTAATCCCAGAAAGAAATCTGAATCCCTGTCTTTAACGTCAGCAAGACTTGCTGAGGATGTTTAATTAAAAATGACAAAGCAGCAATTTATATCTGGCTGTGGGGAAATACAGGATACTGAATTTTTATTTTTTTATATTTTTTATTAGCGTATGTTTGCAGTACATAATGTTCATTTATATTCCTCGTGTGGAGTCACTACATAGTACATCTCAACACACTAAAGTGCATCCTTTTTAGTGGACTGAGTTTCCCACAAGCACAGTGCCCCTCCCCCACCTCCCTCTCCCTCTTCTTTTCCCTCTCCCTTTCCCTCTCTCCTCCTCTCTCCCTCTCCTTCTCTCTCTTTTATTCCCTTCTCTGTTTGAAAAAGAGCTGTCTCCCTATTTCGTATTATCTCTTATTTTGATACTTACGTACAATTTGGGTTTCTTGTATGAGAAGCCACGCAGTATTTAAACTTGTTTGTCTGATTTATTTTACTTAACATTATGGTCTCAAGGTATATCCACTTTCCTACAGATGACTCAAGTTTTTCTTTCTTCATGCATTTGTCTGCCAGTGGACAGAGAGATTACTACAAGCTGTAGCTTTTATGAGTTACGCTGTTCAAAACAGGGGTATGCGTGTATCACTATAATATGATGTCTTTACCTGTCTGGGGAAGATGCCTGGAAGGGGGATTAGGTGGGTCAAATAGAATTTCTCATTTTAGTTTCTGAGGAATCTCCATACTGATTTCCGCTCATTAATATGTGGGCTTGTGAGTATCACCTCTACCAAAGGTGATTTTATTTCTTTAAAAAGGTATAGAGGTATAATTCATATGTAATAAAATAAAGGTATAATTTACATACACTAAAGGCCACCTTTAGTGCACTGTGAGTTTTTGACAAATATAGTTGGGTAACCATCGCTACCATCAAAGTATGGACCAGGTGTATTACTCTAGACAAACTTTTCTATGCCTCTTTGTTATGGTTTATATCTAGATATCCCCCAAAGCCTCCGGTGCTCATAGGGAGGGCTTTGGGAGGTGATTGGGTTATGGGGCTTATAGCTGACCTGCTGCTACTTGGTAGGTCCTGGTTGGAAGAGGTGGGCTGTTTGGGATGTGGCCTGGAAGGGTTCATCTCTCTCTCTCTCTGGCTCCTTCTCTCTCTCTCTTCTTCCTGGTGGCCATACCATGAGCAGCTTTCTTCCACCCGGGATCTTCCGCTATGCTTTTGCTACTTGAGAGCCAACCAACTATGGACTAAAAACATAAGCCAAAGTAAACCTCTCTGTTAAATTGTGGGTTGTTGGGTATTTTGTTCCAGTGATAACAAAAGTGACCAATGCAGATTTCTGGTATACCAGAGAAGTGAGGCCAGTGCTGTGATGTTACCTGACTGTGTGGTTCAGGAACCTTTAGAAGTGGTCCTTAGGAGGAGTTTGGAAGGGTACGGAGATGCCAACTGGAGAAGCAGCCCTAGAATGCTATGAACTGAGCTTGATCGGAGATTGTGGTTGGAGCTCAGAAGACTAGAATGCTGATTGAAAAGATAGATGATAAAAACCATGCTCAGGAGATTTCACTTGAGAATAAGGACTCCACTGACAAGTTTGCTTTGAGATTATGTGTGTTATGCATTGGTAGAAAATTTGTCAGCATTTTACTCATGTCCCAAGTCCTTGTAAGAAACTGAGATTTAAGGGCAGTGGACAAATTAATCTGGTAGAGGAAACTTCAAGGCAGTCCAGTGTTGGAGCTGTGGCATGGGTACTGTGAGAGCTGGTGGGCAGGTTTGTAGCAACATTCAGGAGCAAAAGCTCCTTAAGTTTTCGGTTTTGGCTGGGGGTGGTGGCATATACTCGCTATGCTAGCACTGGGGAGGCTGAAGCAGGAGAATCATCATGAGTTTGAGGTTAGCCAGGGCTACATAGTAGTTTAAGACTAGTTTGCACTACATGGGAAGTTCCTGCCTAAAAAAAACACGAAGTTTTAAGTTTTGACAGAAGGAGGTTGCAAAGACTGAGCAAGGCAGAGCTTGGTTGCTGAAAAGATTAACATTTTTAAAAAGCCAAGTATTTTAGATTAGAGCAGTAGGAGAAATGGCTTATAGGCATGGTAGGAATCAGCAAGGCCCCTTTTTACTCAAAAAAGTAAAAAAGGACTTTGTTGGGAGAAGAGCACTCCAGGGCACCATGCTTGAGAGCAGCTGCCTGTGGAATTTGTTCCCTGGGTTCATTTCACAGGGCCCAGCCAGCCATCACCCCAGAGGGCCTGACTACTTCTCCAGCCGGTGGCAGACCTTGATGCTGGCATTACAGGAACACAGAACGCAAGTGTTGTGGGGTCTGGGTGGTTTCCCCTCAGGTTTCACATGAGGACCTGGGAGGCCAGGCTGTGTGCCTCCAGGGGGCGGTGCTTGAAGCTGTGAGGAAAAGAAAAAGTGTAGTGGAGACCCCAGAACATTGAAAAGCCAGAAATGTGCAACGTCTTAGGGAAGCCACAAGGAGTGCGAAAAGCCAGCCCAAGAGAGAAGCCATGGGGGCGGCAACCACCAGCAGTGCCGTGGAGTTCATGTCTCAGGGCCACAACTTGCCCCTGGTGCTGGACACGGAGCTATAGGACTTAGTGCTTGCCCTTGTGGGTTTCAGTCTTGCTTCGTTTCCGTTGGTTTCTATCCCACGATACCTTCCTTTTGGAATGGGGATGTTGATCCTGCGCCCTAGTGTGTCAGCCTTGTTTAACTCCTTTTCCGTGTTTCCAAGGGCTTACAGTTAGTTAGAGTTTGCCTTTAGGCACAGAGGAGCCTTGGGACTTGGACTTTTCAGCAGTGCTGAAACTGTTAGGATGTTAGCAACTCTTAGAGATGGACTAAATGCATTTTGCACAAAGGGAGTCTTGTAGGGGCCGGGTTGGAGTGTTAGGAACCACCAATTATAAAGTGACAGAGTATCTGTCCAGAGACCCTCCTTGCTCTGCCTTGTGCGTGGGCCGGTTTTGAAATGCGGAAATCCCACTTCCAGTCAGTTGCTGCTGAGATTTTGATGGTCACTGAGGCTGTAATGCTCACAGAGCAACATGAAGGCTTCTGAGGACAGTTCAGGGAAAACTCAGGCCCAGGCGTGGAGATGGATCTTAACCTGTTTCCTTTAGGGTATTAAACATGCCCATTCACCCACGGCTGCGCTGTTCCAGGAAAAGCACCATACCTTTCCCACTGCCCTGGCTAATAAAACAGCAGCGAGTGGGAGGTCCTTGGTCTTCGTTTCCAGAGGACACTGACTATCCCAGAACCCTCTTTCTTGCAGTCCTTGTCTCTTGCTCCTTTTTCTTGCCGTGCATTGTCACTGCAGGCAGGAGACTGGGGCCTGAGAAGCTGCCCCGTGGAAAGGGCCCCCGACAGTGGAATATCAGGGTTGATAGCTAGGTGTCCCCGAGGAGCCTCACGTGCTAATAGACAGGGCTTGGCGAGGCGGTTGGGTTACAGGGATTCATAGCTGACATGCTGCTAGGTGGTGGGGCCTCGTTGTCGCAGGCAGGTCACCGGGGCAAGGCCCGGAAGGGTCCACCTCTCTCCCCAGCCCATTTGTGCATGAGCAGCTTTCTCTGCCCGGGGCCTTCCACCCTGCCCTGGCTGCTTGGGAGCGGACCAACTATAGACCAGAAGCACGAGCCGAGATAAACCTCTCCTTTAAGTTGTGGGTGTTGGGTGTTCCGTGTCAGTGACGAGAAAAGCCACCAAGACACCCATTTTCGTGCTTTCATCATCTGTGTCTTGCCCTGCCCACCACTAACCTGTTTTTGCTCTTAGTTTTACCTTTTCCAGAATAGAAAGAATCACATTCTATATCGCTTTTTCACTTCAGTGACTTTCAGTCAGCAAAATGCATTTAAAAGGGTGGTTTAAAAAATATTTTTTTAAATCCAAATGTGGTAGTGTACTCCTATAATCATAGCATTTGGGAAGCTGAGGCAGGAGGATTTCTGTGAGTTTGAGGCCAAGCTGGGCTACATAGTGAGGTCGAGGCCAGCCTGAACTGTATATCGAGACCCTGTCTCAACAAAACGGAACAACAAATTTACACCATGTTTGGATGTAAATTTAACTAAATCCTTATAAAGCAGAGCACATACGGAATTAGTCATTTTGATTTGGATCAAATTTTTTTTTGTTTGAATTCTTTTTTATTTTGTCTGAGACAGGATTTCACTATGGTAGCTCAGGCTGGCCTTGAACTCACTGTCTAGCCCAGGCTGGCCTCAAACTCGCAGCAGTCTTCCTGACTCAGCCTCATGAGTGCTTTATTTGAATTCTTGTCACAAAACATATCAGAAACAAGGTCGTGACCTTCTATGTTTCATTTTAGGTGATACTTTCTTGCTTCTCTGACCAAAACCTGTAGCTTTCCGAGGCCCGTCTGCACAGGTTTGAGGCTCCTGATAGCTTGAGCCGTCAGTGTTTACTGGACACACTCTCTGACACTCTCTGTGGTTACCGGACGTGTCCTCTACATTGCTCTGTGTACCTGTGTTACTTATTTTATCTTTGTCCTCATCTTGGCCAACTTGCAGTTGGCTTTTGTCCTGCAAACGCTTCCCTGTTTTCTTCTGTGTCCTCTAGCAGGGATAGGTCTTTCTCCCATACTTTTGCATGACCTTTTTTTTTTTTTTTTTTTGGGTTTTTCTCTGGTACCAGGAACCAAACTCACGACCTTGCGCTTGCCAGGCAGGCGCTTTGCCGCTGAGCTAAATCCCCAGCCCCTCTTTTGCATGACCTTAAACGTGGCTGTCTAATAAACCACCATGAAGTTTTGAAATACAGTGAATGATACGTGCCATCCCGAGAGTGTGCCGTTTCTGGCCTGTGTGTGCCTCGACTTTCGGGCTTTTAAAAGCTCCCCTGGTGAGGATGAATTGCAACAGCACTTGAGAACTACTGTGTCCAACGCTGCTTGCCTCGCCTTATCCTAGTCTTGTTTTTTTTCTGTAATGTTTTTCTGTGCTATGACTGCAACTCTTTGATGGTCAGAAACCCTTTTTGCTACGGTGATGAGAACAATCGATACTTTTATTAAGAATCCATACTTTTATTAAGAGATCGATACTTTTATTAAGTCCCTACCTGTTCACAAACCAGAATTATTATCCCTTTACGTGGTTAAAGAAACAGGAGCTCAGAGGGGAGTGACAGATTGCCCCAGGTCAGCACTCGTAAGGGACGGAAGTGGGTTTCGCAGGGCTGTTGGATTCCTAACTCCTCCCCTGTGTTAGAACCTGGACTTGCATGTTGACTACCGCCTGGCACAGCCTTGCACTGCCGGTCTGCCCCAGAGACTTGCGGAGGGAGCGAGTGAAGAACACACTTTGCTTCTTCAGGCAGGGGGCCCCCAAAGCTGTTCAGCAGGACGGACTTAGTCCTCTTACGGAGTGTGTCTGGAGAGGATTTCTCTCCGAAAAAGTGCCTTTGATCCTTGCCTGCTCAGAATCCTCCTAATCCCCTCAAGGTCTAGCTACATGCTGTTTCTGGGGTGGGGGTGTAGGATGGAGACGGCACAGGTTGTCTTTGGCTCTCTGTAAACTTCACGTTTGTTTCTGTAGCTAAGCTTATCCCCATGTAAGCTGGATCGTACGCTGCAGTATTACCTGAAGCTGTCAGAAGCGGGCTGTCTTCTCTTGATCTGCCATAATTGCAGCATCTTCTCTTGCTTGGGAGAGAGGAGCGTAATCATCTACTTAATTGCCATGTCTGCACATTGATGCAGCTGTAATAAATGACACTCATAATGACGGCTCTAAAGTTTTGCAAGATACTCAGATGCCTTTGTAATCGCCAGAGCTTCCTCTTTGTTCAGAATTGGCGTTCAGAGGGTCTGAATACTGGAAGAAAAAAAAATATACAGTCTGGTACTCTAAAATATTCTTTTTTTTTATTTTTTTAAATTTTTTTTTTTGGTTTTTGGTTTTTCTCCGGTACCGGGAACCGAACTCACGACGTTGCGCTTGCCAGGCAGGCGCTTTTGCCGCTGAGCTAAATCCCCAGCCCCTCTAAAATATTCTGATTATTTCCTTTTTGGAGATTGGGGTCTTGCTGTGTTACCCTGGTGGGCTATGACCTCCTGGGCTCAAGTGATCATCTAGCCTCAGCTTACTGAGTAGCTAGGACTACGGGAGTGTGCCTGATACCTGCCTTCACTCTGACCCTGTACATATCAGGTGCTGTTCAGTTAAAGGTGCTGTGGGCTGGTAGCTCACTGTTGCTTAGTTCACTGATTCCATTACCATCTTGGCCATTGGGGGTGCTCTCTGCAGCCTGAACTGTGGCTGCACTGAAACTGAGGTGAGCGTTCCCTCTGGATCGCTGTCGTGCTGTGCTGTGTTCTGCCTGCGACCAGTGTTACTGAGAGCGTTGGTCATGTTTTGCCACATGTACCTTTTCGTCACCTCCTACCCCTTTTCTCTCCCTCGTCTCTTCCCCACTTTTTCTTTTTGGTGGTATTGTGGCCTCATGTAAGCTAGGCCAGTGCCCTGCCACCTGTAGCCCCTTTTATTTTATTTTATTTATTTTTACTTATATGTATTTTTTAGCAGTGGCAAAGTTTATTTGAAGAAGTAAAAGTGAAGAGTGAGGAAGAGACTAGCTCTGCAGAGCGAGCTTGGGCCGAGTGAAAGAGGAGAAAAGCAAGGCAGAAGTACACCCTGGGCAGCGCGGGGCGGGACACCGTGAGGAAAGCCACGGTAGCCCCTTTTTATTCGGAGATGTGATCTTGCTAAATTTCTCAGGCCAGCCTTACACTTGCTGTTTTCCTGCCTCAGCCTCCTGAGTAGCTGGAATTACAGAACTGAACCATGCGTGGCTCCCGTTCTTCCTATCCTGTCTTCCTTGAAGTTATTCCCAACATTTAGGCTTCACACATGAACTTCCCTCTGCGATTATCCAGCGGCTGCCAAGTGGTGTTTTCTTTTAAAATTAACTTCCTTCCTTCTTTCCTTACTTGTTGACATTTTCCAAATAAAAAGATTTGCCTTCTTGTTATTTATTCATGTCCTTTATTTCACATACCTATTCTATTTTGTGAGTTAGAATCCATTATTGTCTTCTTTTTGTAGTACTGAACCCAAACCTTCCAATTGAACTGCAACCCCATTTTTGCTAAGTTGTCCAAACTGGGCTCAAACTTGAAGTCTTCTTGCTTCAGCCTCCCAGAGTGCTAGAATTATATGTGCACCACCCAGCCTGGCTCATTACTGTCTTTATTATCTTGAGGCTTGGGGATTTTTAGTTTGAGGAGTTTTTGTAGAGTTGGGCAGGAATAGGATGGGCTCATGTGCATTTGGTTCCATGTTGCCTAAAAGGGGTCATCTTAATACCTGCTTTTCTTTCTCCTGGGGCAGTTATCAGTCCGCCTCCTGTGGCTGGGACAGTTTCATACAATTCAAATTCATCTTCCCTTGAGCAGCCGAATGGAGGCAGCGCCAGTCCTGCCTGCAAAGCCTCCTCTGGGCTTGAGGCAAACCCAGGTAAGCTCTTAAATGGGGGGTGAGAGAGGGCTGTGACTTGCCCTAGGAGCTCCATTCTCTGTGAAATGCTGTAGGTAGACTCCGCCAGGGTTTACTGGCTGGAAACCACTTGTACCAGGCTTCGGGCTGTATCAGTTGGTTATTTCTGAATAACATGCTGAGCGCGAATGCATCGGTACAACCATGAGGACTTACTGTCACAGCTCACTCGTGTGGTGTGGTGTCTGGTAGTAGGCAGATTTCAGCCAGCCTCACCCCGTCTTGGTGCGGCTTAGCTGTGAATCTACCCACTGCCTGAGGCTCTGTTCTGGATGTGGCTTGTACTTAAGTGGAAGCAGCTCTATTCCACGTATCTCATCCTCCTCTTGGGACGACTGGGCTGTGCAGTACACGTCCTTGTGCTGATGGCAGAAACACCAGGCGGCGAGCAGAGATACGCATTCTCAAAGCTGAAACTCAAATGTTAAGCAGTCACTCGTGTCTCACTCTGTCTCCCAGTCGAAGGGATCCAGAAGTTGAGCAAGGTAGGCTGTTCCCTCTGTAGGGAAGACTGCAAAGTCACGTGGCAGAGAGTGTGGATAACCAGGAGGGCAATGAATTTTACCTTATATCTACGTGGTAAAAGCACCCTTTAAATCCTTGAAGTGTTTTACAGTAATGGAACATTTTAAAGGTTTCATTTCTGTCCACTGATTTGATACCAAGCAAGTCTTGGCTATGAGTAATTTTATTTTATTTTTTATTTTTATGGCCTTTTTGAGACAGGGTCTCACTATGTGGTTAAGGCTGGCCTTGAACTCACTTTGTAGCCCAGCCCTCGAACTGGCAGCAATCCTTCTGCCTGAGCCTTCTGAGTGCTGGCTAAATTTTGAAATAAAAGAAAAATCATGAAAAAGGGAGAGAAGAAGACCTTATATGAAGTACCAAGTATTTAGCAGGTGCCGCTATTCTTTCTCCCACTTCCAAGGCAGGCACTACTAATCAGTGAAGAGTCTTTGCCAGTGAGCTTGCATACACCCTGAGGTACTTTCTTGAAACATTCTTCGTCTCTTGGGCTTGTGGAATGAGAGGTGTAAACCTCAGCTATGAAATGAATAACTTGGCAGCATTACTTTCAGGGAGTCAGGGAATTTGAAGACTTGTTGGCCAAATGTTTGAAAATATTTTCACTTACCTCCAAAACCAAAAAACTTTACACAAGCACAAACTGAGCCAAAGCCATTTAGTAAGTAATACATCACAGTTATGGAAGCATCTTCTGTATGCAAGGTATGTTATATTACCTTTTTATTCATTCATTCATTCATTTAGAGACAGGGTTTGCTATATGGTTCATGTTGGCCTTGAACTTGTTGTGCAGCCTAAGGTGTTCTCAAACTTGAAATCCTCCTGCCTCAGCCTCCTGGATGCTGGGGTTATAGTTATGAACCACTGTGCTCAGTTTACTCTGCTGTTATTTTAAACTAAAGATAGAACATTATATGGAAGTATGTCAGGGTGTTCACCTCTGAGGAATGAGTTAGATTTGATAATCTGAAAGCTCAAAATTTTTATGTATTTATTTATTTATTTTCCTTTTGAGACAGGGTCTCACTATGCAGTTCAGGCTGGCCCTAAGTTCACTTTGTAGCCCAGGCTGGTCTCAAATTTGGCAAAGATCCTCCTGCCTCAGCCTCCCGAGTGCTGGGATTACAGGCGTGTGCCACCATGCCTGGCCTAAAATTTTTAAATTGTATAAACAAATACATGCTCTGAAAGTAGAAAACTGGAAAAACTGAGTATGAGAGTAGGAAGGCTAAAAAGCCACAGTGCATTCTCATGAAGAAAGTGGAGGAAAGTTCCTTCTGACTTTGCATGGCCTTTCACATGTGTGGCATGTTTCGATTATGTCTGCTGCATAGGCCAGAGGCCCTGCACACTTTGAGAGGTATCGTTTTAAAACAAACAGAACAAAACAAAACACAAACACAGAAATAAACATGAAACCAAACCAAACCATCAACAAACAAAAAACACCATTGTGAATGATAAAATGGGCATTTGATAAGGAAAAAGTGAAATTTGTCATTTTAATTGTTGAAAGTAATTCAGTAGTATAGCAAATATATATGGAAGTATATATATATATATATATAAAATATGCATGCATATACCACATACACATACATGCCTGTACTTTTGTGTATGTATATGAGGGGTGGGGGGGAATTAACATGGCTCCAGGGAGAAATAATCAACAGCTGATAGCTTGGACAAACATCTCTGAGTAATTCATAGATCAAGCAGACAAAAAATCTTTTTTTTTTTCTTTTGGTTTTTCTCCGGTACCGGGAACCAAACTCACGACCTTGCGCTTGCCAGGCAGGCGCTTTGCCGCTAAGCTAAATACCCAGCCCCAAGCAGACGAAAAATATTCATAAGGATCTAGAAGCCCTAAAATCATGATCAACAAGCTTGAGCTGATAGATGTGTAGAGATCATTACTTCTCACAAGTGCAAAGTATGTACTGTTTTCATGAAGACACTGAACACTGTTTTAAAAAGGGTCTTATTTAGGCTATAAAGCGGGCGTCCAACACTTTTGACATTTTGCTGTCATGTGGACTGTGTTCTCTGACTGCAAAGGATCTGTATTGGAATTACTAACCAGAAATAACTGGAGCCTCCCTTTACGTTTACAAATGAAGCAGCATGTGCTTTAAGAGCGCATACGTTGTCAAACAGTTATCGTAAAACAGTTATCATAGAAAAGTTACCATGTAATATCAGGAAATACTGAAAATGGATCTGTGTTGGCAATTACCGCCCTCTCCTTGCTCCTCTTTCCTGCCTTTGTCCCAGAAAAGGGAGACTAGACCTTCGCACCAGTGCCAGCTCTGCTATTAGAAAGTTAGTTGGAGTAGTTGACATGTACTTTCTGTTTTCTGTTTAAAATCACTCATTGTTTTGTCTTTTATTTTGATCACCGTAGGAGAAAAGAGGAAAATGAATGATTCTCATGTTCTGGAGGAGGCCAAGAGACCCCGGGTTATGGGGGATATTCCTATGGAATTGATCAATGAGGTCATGTCGACTATCACAGACCCTGCTGCGATGCTTGGACCAGAGGTCAGAAGTGTAAACCAGGCGGTCAGTGGATCGACCCCTCTGTCTCCACTCCTGCTCTCAGAAGTCGGGGAGGGAGTGCTGAGAGCTAGCGTGCTACCCTGGTTTACAGTGAACCTGGTGGTCATGGTAGGGAGGGCAGGAAGGGAAATTCAGAGGTGATTTCCCTGGAGTATCACACCGGAGGGCCACATTCTAACAATCTCGCACAATTGAAAACCTTTTTATCTTGAAGAATTTCAAACTCTGATAAATGCTGCAAAAATTCTGTAATAAAAATCCATAGACTTCTTTCAGTTCAGCAGTTGTTAATATTATGCTACTCTTAACTTCCGTGTCTGGCTTTTTCTCTCTGTGTGAGCCGTTTACAATCATTTCAGAGATAAAAATAGATGTTGTAATGCTTCACGTCTAACCTTTTTAACCATTACTATATATCTCACGATAATGAGGCTAATGCCAGGTTGACAGACTTTAGCTTACAGGCCAGATCTGGCCCACTAGTTTTTGTAAATAAATTTTTGTTGAAACATTATCTGTGGCTGCCTTTGCACACTACAAAGCAGATTTGAATAATTGAGAAAGGGAATTTGTGGCTCACAAAGCATAAGATATTTATCATCTGACCTGTACCGAGAAATTTTCCGATCTGCGGTGTACTGGATAGCTCATGTCCTAATTCCTCATCTGTCCCAATTAGGTCTTTTATACTTGTTGTCCTTGAAGGATCAGTTGGGGATCAAGCATTGCATCTAGTTTTTATTTCTTGTCTCTTTTAATGTGAAACAGTTCTTCAGCCTTTTTTGCAATGCTATCACTGCAGATGAATCTTGGTCACTAGTTCTGCATACTGTCCTTTTGTTTATATTTGTCTGATTGCTTCCAAATGACTAGGTACATTCAAATACAGCATTTTTGGTAAATTTACAGCTGTCATCTCATTGCGTTGTATCCAGGAAAAGGATGGTTTAAGACATTTCTTAAGGCTCCCAGGAAATGAGGAAACATTATTTTATAAACAACTTTTTATGCCTTTAATGTAGCTATACAGCATTAAAAAGTATTAATTTTTGTGTTGCCATATTTCCTTAGGTATTTATTTTATAATGTCGAGGGTAATTCAGAGAAGTGGAATGTTGTAATAGATCTCGTAAAATTCTTCTTTCTATCTCCTTATATATAGATGTCCAGTGTTTGGGGATGTAAGACTGTGTAGTTCATTGTGTATACTACATTGTGTATACTTGGCTTTTAGGGATTTAGTAATTTCCCAGCTTAGCTGAGCTTATTTTTTTCAGCTGTGTAGTGGGGAAGCGCTCAAGCATTTCAAATTGTGGATTTAGTATCCTGGAGCTGGCTTATGTTGACATCATGTCTAAGAAAATTGTTAAATTTTCAGAAAGTTTTCGAGCTTGTTGTTACATTCTTTGATAGTTTGAAATTGAACGAGTTGCTCCTGGTCACCTGGAGCAGCATCCACAGCCAGCACAGCCAGCTGTAGATCAATGCAGTAAGCAAGTGTTACCAGTTAGGACTTTACTTTCCCCAAGGAGCTGTTTGTTGAGTGTGCACTTGCGTACCAGTGATGGGTTCAGTAAGGTGGAATACGGTTCAGTGTGGGTTGATAGATAATCTGTGGGAAAGAAAACTATCCTCTAAAAAGAGGTGCTAAGGATATAAATGTGACTTCAACACTTAGAAATATAATGAGAATTTGGTATCTGCCATAGCAAGGATCTTTTAAAGCTTAGCTGGATCAGATGTTTTTTTAAGCAAGGGGTTGGCAAACTGATAACACACAGAGCAAGTCTGACCTCTTTTTCTTTAACCACTATTTTAAAAATAATTTTTATTGGAACACTACTGCATCTGTTCTTTAACATACGTGTACAGCTGCCTTTGCACTACAGTAAGCCGTCGAGCAGTTTAAGATAAAGACGTTATGGTTCTAAGCACTTGCAATATTTTCTGTGTGGCCTTTTGCAGAAGTTTGTTGCCGCTTAATCCATTACACATGTCATACGTAGATTTCTGACATTGCTTTTCCTTCTCTGTCTTCATAACTTGTGTGTGTGCTTGTGTACATGCATACATGTCCGCACGTGCACGTTAAGTACCGTTAAACGTATGTCTCATTAGAACAAAGAAGAGATGCTTTGATATGTCCCATCCTACTGTCTTAAAAGAATAGCCCCACACAATTTTCCCTGTTTCTTGCTTCCCAGACCAATTTTCTGTCAGCACATTCAGCCAGGGATGAGGCAGCGAGGCTTGAGGAGCGCAGGGGTGTGATTGAGTTTCATGTGGTCGGCAATTCCCTGAACCAGAAACCCAACAAGAAGATCCTGATGTGGCTGGTCGGCCTGCAGAATGTGTTCTCCCACCAGCTGCCCCGGATGCCCAAAGAATACATCACGCGGCTGGTCTTTGATCCGTGAGTTGAGCTTTGCCCGTCCTCCTCCTTTCAGTCCCCAGAGCCTCCTGCCAAATCCTGGTGCTTCCTGTCATGTTGTGGGTGCGAAGCTACACAGCAAGACCATTTTCATGCCCAAAACACTGATTTTTGAATGTTTGTAAACATTCTTGTTGATAGCAAGGAAGCTTTATGTGTTAAACTGCTGGTGATTGTCTTGTGCTCCCTTCATTATAGCAGTGAGAGAACAGAAACATCAAGAAGATGTCTCACTGTTTTTGTAGTTAAGGCATTCTTGGTTTTTTTGTCTTGCCATTGTTGCCCAGGCCTGTAAACATGGACAAATTATTGGGATACAAGAACCGTTAACTTTGTAAAATCCATTGCTTAAAAAAAAATAATAGAAAACTAAACTTCTTTGATGTATTTTTTTTTTTTTTTGGTTTTCTCCGGTACCGGGAACCGAACTCACGACCTTGCGCATGCCAGGCAGGCGCTTTTGCCGCTGAGCTAAATCCCCAGCCCCTAACTTCTTTGATGTATTTGAACATATATGACCCAGCACCCTATGTAAGCTGTAATTGGCATACCTGACAATTCAGGGTGCCATTTTTTCCAGAGAAAAGGTCCGATAGGATTCCATAATTCAGGGTTTGGCAGATGACACATGTGAATTAGTATTCTTCTCCGTAATGTTTTTGAGTGAGAGTGAACTCTTGAGAAAGGTATGGCACATTCAGCCATGACTTTGTGCTCTTCCCCTGACCCCCAACGCTGGGTTTCTGGGCATTGGGTGTACCAGTTCCAGGTCACCCCTGCATATATGGTGTTTCTGTCATAGACTGCAGACACTTCTGAGGGGACTTGTATTGTGTTCTGATGGGAAGTCGGGTGAGGTTCTGTCAGGCTGTAGAAAGTCTAGGTGAAAGGATGGTCTAAGAAGCCGGTGGCTAGATGAAGTTTTCATAGAAACTGAAGACACAATCCCTTTATTGGTTAGTTAATAAGGAATATTCCCAAAGGCATATTTATACAACAAAGATAGATGAAATTTTGACTTAATCTTATTCTTTCAGGAAACACAAAACTCTTGCTTTAATTAAAGATGGCCGTGTCATTGGAGGTATCTGCTTCCGTATGTTCCCATCGCAAGGATTCACAGAGATTGTTTTCTGTGCGGTCACCTCAAATGAGCAAGTCAAGGTAAGGGAACCCTGAGGTCTTAGAGGAAAAGCAGAGTGGGAGCCTTCTCACCAAAGCCGCAGAGCTTGGGAAGTGCCATGTCCGGAGAAGGTTCAAAGTGGAGGCCAGGCCTGTCCAAGGAGAGCCCGCTCACTGCGATGCGTGTGTAGAGGTGGCAGGAGCATGACCGTCCATGTACCAACAAGTAACGTTGTATCCAGGCCTTGCTGGACACAGGAGCTAAGTTCAGGGATACCACACAACCCAGTGGTCTCAGGGGTGGTCTTTAGCAATGAAGGGCTGCTTGAAAGTCAGTCTCAGGGCTGATTTTAATTTACACACAATGTATGCATGCCATGCACACAGTTGCACACACACACACACACACACACACCCCTGGCAACACTGCACCACCAGAAAGAATGTGATTGATGTGGATTAGTATTCATGCCGCTTACACTTCAGAGAGATTCTTACAACTTTGTCCCTAAAGGGGGACAAGGACTAAAGAAATTCTATAAGGCCCAGCGTGGTCATGCATGCCCGTAATCCCAGCACTCAGGAGGCTGAGGCAGGAGGATCATTGCAAATTTGAGGCCAGCCTGGGCTACAAAGTGAGCTCAAGGCCAGCCTGAACTGCTTAGTGAGACCCTGTCTCAAAAAAGACAAAAAAAACAAAACAAAACAGAACTCTATAAGAGAGGTTATGAAAATTGGAATAAGTGTATGAACCGTTCATGTGAGGTTTGGCTTTCCTTTCTTCCTTCACCCCTTCTGTCCTTTTCTCTTTTTCCCCCTTCCCTGCTTCTCTCTTTCCTGCCCTCCCACTCCTCTCCCTTTCTTCCCTTCTTGCCTTCCTCTCCCCTTGGCTTTCATGATGCTAACTTCTCAAGTTGTCCTTGAGAAGGACATTTAAAAAGTCTGGGTATCTGGACATTTCTCACTTTGGGGGCGTGGCTGGCAAAGACAACAACAGCACCAGCTGAAGTACACCGCCAGAAATCCTCCAGAAAGTACCAGAGAGCGGCTTTTGGTAAATGTGCATCTTCCTTCCCCAGTCAGAAGGATGAATGTGACAGTACTGAACTATGTTGCCCTTTGATTGAAGCAGAGTGGGAGCTTGGTAGAAGTCCCTTTCTCTCTGGGAACTGTGGCTATGTTTTTTTGATGTTGCAGTTAGTCTTGCTGACTAGTTAGTTTACCATTGAGCAGAAAGAGCTCTCACCTAGACTTTCTTGTGTTCTACTGTGCTGCTCTTGGGAAAATGTAACCAGAACATCTTTACTTAGGGAGCCCTAAAAGATATTGTGTGCAGATATGGTAGGTGGTAGAAAGATAAGCAGATCACTACTAGGAGGCTGCTAAGAGAGAGTATTGCAAGATCTAAGGTCATGCCTCATGGAAGTGTAACTTGCACCACCAAAGTACTTTCCAGTGCCCTAATAGATACAGTTTTTAAAAAGCAAGTAGAAACAGGTGAGGTTGATGTTTTTAGTTTTTTTTTATTATTTTATTTTAAGGAGAGAGTATCATTGTATGGCTCGGGCTGGTCTTAAACTCAGTATGTAGCCCAGGCTGGCCTTAAACCACCAGTGATTGGCTTTTCTCAACCTCCTGAGTGCTGGGATTACAGGCGTGCACTATGACACCCAGCCCAATTTTAAAATGTATTTTACTTTACCCACTATTCAGTGTCACAAGGAATTATTGGGACTATTTACATTTTTTTTTTTAAATTGAACTCAAGAGTTTTTGTGCTGAGCTGCATACATTCTTAGCCCTTTTTACTTTTATTTTGAGTCAGAACTGCACTAAACTGCTAAAGGCAGGTTGGACATCCTCAGCCACATTTCAAGGGCTCGATAAGCCTGTATTGGACAATGCAGGTCTAAGGACTTTGCTGATTCCTTCAGCTTCAAGGAAGTGATGCTGTTCGTAAAACCCAAAAGTGAATTCCTGGAAGGAGTCACTCTCTGCTCGAGGGCTACAGTCATTGCTGTTGGTACTTTGGCTTTCATGAACAGCTTGGCACTCTGTCTCGGAGCCAGTTGTAGCTGCTGTGATGTATTTACTGTCCCAAAGCACAAGGGCGGCTCTTTGTCTTGCAGTCCAAGCACCAGGCATCAACGGACAACACAGTTCAGTAGTGTCACACTCATCCTTCTGACTGGGGAAGGAAGATGCACATTTACCAGAAGCCGCTCTCTGGTACTTTCTGGAGGATTTCTGGCGGTGTACTTCAGCTGGTGCTGTTGCTCTCTCTGCCAACCACGCCCCCAAAGTGAGAAATGTCCAGGTACCCAGACTTTTTAAATGTCCGGAGTTTAGGACCTTACATGTAAAAAAATTTTTCCTGACATTTTGTAGAAAACTTGGAAAATACATTTTTGGTTTATAATTTTGAAAAGCTTGTACAGTTTTTGTTTACAGAGATAGCTGTACCAATACCCTCTTTGGAAAGGTTGGCGCTGTTAGGGATACCACAGGGAAATTGAAGGTATCTAAGACGAATTGGATACTTTGTCTTATTACTTCCCAGAAAGACAGTTCATTTTTTTTCCCCCTCAACCATGTAATTTTCTAAAGATTTCATGGAAAGTAGCCAAACATCTCAAACTCAAGTAGGAAGATCTGGGCAAAAAAAAATTGCATTTTGTAATTGACCTGAAAGTGTGGTTTTAGAAAATGAAGATTAGTCTCTCAAAACTGAATAGACGGGTATATATAACTCAGCGGTGCAGTGCATGCCTGGCAAGCGCAGGGTTCTGAGTTGGATTTCCGGTACCCCCCCAAAATGAATAGAATGGAATGAATTGAAGAAAGTTGCATACAGTTCTTTCATTAATTTCGTGGTCTTTTCACTGTCTTGTGTCATTCCGTAATGGTTGATGCATAACTCCTGAGACATGTGCTGCCCTAGATACGTACATTTTTATATGCTTGGAGTCTGAGGTAAAGATTATCTAGCTTTGTCAACTCACAGCACTAAACAACATGAAACTGCTCCAACTCGGAGTAAGACTGAATGGTCCCAATTACGGTAGCTTATGTTTGTAAAAACAGCACATCTGTAAGTAGAGATCTTAAATATCTGTTAAAATCAGCCATTTTAGAGAATCCAGCTAATGCACCAGTTCCTGTGCATACTTCACAGGGAACGCGGCAATACCCTGACTCCTGGGTGGCACTGGATGAGACCAGAGGCTGCTTGGTGTGTAGTCACCTGTGGAGTTTCCACATACTTGTACGGGCATTGAAACCAGGGCCTTCTGTCGCTGAGCAACATCCCAGCCCTTTTTATTTTTTTATTTTAAGACAGGCTCTTAGGCCGGGGATATAGTGGCACAAGCGCCTGCCTGGCAAGCACAAGGTCCCGAGGTTGATTCCCGGTACAAACAACAATAAAAAAGTCTTTTATTTTAAGGCACGCATTGAACTTGTAATCTTCCTGCCTCCCAGGTGTGTGCCTGGCTTCGCTCCCACTAGTGTAGGTACAAATACACCCCTCTGTGCCAGGGATACACAGTAGAAATGCAACGGGACACTGAAATGCAAGTCACGTATGTCATTTAAAAATTTCTGGTAAACCAATGACAAAAAGTAAAGAGAAACAAGTGAAATTAATTTAACATTCTTTATTTAAACTAATATTCCCAAAGTACTGCCGTGTCAGTATGTAGTAAGTGTAACATGTTAATAATGACAATTTTTTTCCTAGTGTGTGTGTATTTATACTTTCAGCACGTCTCCACTTGGATTAGTCACATTTCAGTAGCCACGTGAAAGTAGATACTGCCGTATGCCGCAGTGCAGCTCTCTTCTGTCATGATATGTTTATATGTTTATCTTCCTCATTTTCCTGTCATCTCAACGAGAGAGATACTCCACTTGTCTTTTTATTCAGATTTTATTAAAACTCAAAAAATGTTTTGGTATTGTGATATGTTTGGGAAAAGCCAAGATGTCCTTGGGTAATATCAGTGGAAGAATAATATCTAGAAGAGGGAATTGATATTCTTCTCCTGTGAAGAGGACAGAGCATCACCTGGTTATTATTATTATGCTGGGTCCAGGACCCAGGCTTCAGGAAGGCATTGTTACATTGGAGAAAGCCTTAAAAAATAGTAATTAGGTTGATCAGAGGTTTCCTGGTATATCATATAAGAAATGGATCATACAAGAAATAGGATGAACATAAGTGAGTCTGTCAAAGGCTTGAAAAGAGTTGTTAAAAGCAGAAATGAGCTTTTGTAACTCTAAGAGGAGGCTGAAGGTTAATAAGTAGAAATAATGAATTCAAGTGAGCATTAGGGAGGAATTCCTGACTGTACAGTGCCTAAAAGAAATGGGTCTATCTCACGACCGAGGGATTATCCTAAATTAGAGCTGCAGGGGCTGTTCCCTAACTTTTTGTAAGTTTTGAAGGCCTTCTTGCTTCAGGGGGATAGGGAGTTAGACCAAATGACCCCGAACAGCCTTTGAGGTGCTACGGTTCTGTGAGATTGTACCTGTGGACACATCTGAGTTCTTCTATGTGAAGATATTTATCTCTGGATGTTTAAATTTACTTTTATGTCTTTTGATGAGGTTCTAAAACAAAATCACAGTCAATGTCTAGAATTTGGTCTGAGCTTTGCATGTCACTGAAAGAACCAGTACATGGGTATTTTTTTCATATTTAAACCACTCATTTATTCGACATTGTTCACTGTTTTTACTTCCCAGTGTGTTCTGACTGATTCAGAGAGTCTGGGTTTTTCAGTCATTGCTTAAGGCTAAGTGAAAGCTTCTGTGTAGGTGGTGATGCAATTTTTTAGAAAGGTTGTTGAGTGTGGTATACAGCAAACATTTGGATTAGTAAATGTCCTAATGAAAGTTAACACTTTTCATTTTTATACCTCTTTTCATCTCAGGTTCTGAAATACTTGAAAGATTGAACAGAGATTCGTAATCAACATTTACTCCAAACACTTTTATATTAATATTCAGCAAATAATTTTTAGGACTAAACTGTAGCCTGTAGCCTTGGTATGTTATTTTTAAAGAATTGGAAACATCTGTTTTCTTTCTTTTTCTCTTTATCCTGCCTGCTGTTCGTCCCTTCCTCCCTCCCTCCCTCCTTCCCTCCTTCCCTCCCTTCCTCCCTT